TGATAGAAAAAGGGAGGTTGCAATTTTTTTTTTTTTTTTTTTTTTTTTTTTTGATTCACCTCATCTTTTACTCATCATTGACAATTTGGATTTTTACCAGGGCCTCCATAGTAAAAGTAATGCCCCCAATCACCATTGCTTCCTGTTTGGACATCATAGCAGTTTGATTGTTCAGTGAAGGTGCCAATGCCTTTGGGAGCCTTGAGATTATTGGAGCTATCAACCACTTGAATGTTCCTGAAGTAGCTTGCTTTGCCAAACCCCTCTTCAGGGAAATGGCCACTGCCCATTTGAGTTGAGGTGTGCTGACCATCAGGCTCAGAGTTTACAACTTCTCCACCCCACTCAATCATGGAAGCACTATCAGCCAAATATGAGAACAGGAACGAAGGCCAATACCCTAATACATAGTCATTCCCAAATTGCATCCACCAGTGTCCCTCTTTAGGATCCTACAAGGGTGAAAATAGACAACTAATGTCAGTAACAAAGTTCATGATTTCAAGTACATTGTTTAGCTCCACATTAGAAAGGATTGTTTTCTATAATTATAAAAGACATGACAGGTTGAAAATACAACATGTTTTCCTGCGTATAATCAATTCATGACTTTTCAAAGTTCCTGATGGTTGAATTGTTACCGCTAAATAGTGTCCCTGTCATCAATTACAACTGGGGTCCATATCTCAATCCAAAGAAATTATGGAGGATATCCAATGTATCTGTGCTATAAAGAAGATTCTAACTAAGATGCAACTGCCAACCACCAAGAATGCTTTTGATACTAGGTAAAAAAAAGCTTTTACTAACCAGATAATAAGTGAACACATGAAAAACTCAAGATTCTTAAGCTAGCTTTAGGGTCTGTTTGGATAAACTTTTCCAGAAGCACTTCTAAGAAAGAAAAATAGGAAAGAAAAAACAAAACAAGTTTCTCTATAAGCTACACATAAGAATTTTGTAGAAGCTCTCTCCTACTAGCTTCTCCAAAATCTTACTTTTAACTTATACATAAGCTAATTTTAGTTTTTCCTTGGAAAAGTCTATCCAAACACCCTTTTAAATTATTGAACATTGACATCTTGGATTTTCCACATGTCATGATTCATACAAATGAGAGAAAGATGATGTGTTTCCATTTAGTCCAAACAATTGGGAAATTACAGCGGTCCTCATGCAAACATCTAGTTGGAAGAGTAATGAGATGAGACCCATGATGTTTAAAAGGTAGTTTGGTTTATATTTGCAGATTTATAATAACTACACAAATTCCTGGGATTTTACCTTCCAGATAAGTATACTGATATCAAACTGAGAATTTCGATAACCAGAAACTGGAGAAATGGTTGCACCCATTGCTATTTCACTGTTGACCTGAATAAATCCCGAGCAAAGAAGGTTGTAGCAACCAGTAGCTTGATATGCATCACTCTGCAAAATGTAGAAAGTGAGTTTGATAAAAAAAAGAACATACTTCGACTAACACAAAGATTATTAGAACAAAAATGAAAACCACATAGGGCTAGGTAGGCATACTTAAGAGATAGAAGCTTACCGTCCAGTAAGTGAATAGCCGTGTGTTGTTATCACCATATAAATCTGGGCTAACCTGTTATCAAACACATGCAATCATTACAATTTAGAAGTATAGTTCATAGTCAAAGACAGGTTATTCAGTTTCTTTGATCAGAATAAATGAATACCGAGTCTTTGTACCTGCCAGCCAGCTTCAATGCTGTTAAGATCTTGACCAAATGAGCCTCCTAATATCCAAAGCTGAGACAAGCTGAACTCATTAGGCTGCTGAATCTTAGGTTCCCACACATTTATAGTAGCTTTTGCTCCATAGTACTTGTCTCCCTCGACATATGCTATTGCATGCTGATCAATAACAACAACCCACAAAGACACCATTAGGAAAATTAGGCCAAAGCTACTACTTAAAAGAGTGAAGTACGAAAATATGATAACACTACAAGACACTTTAAACAGTTCTTACCTGATGACCACTTTGGTTGATTAGATCAGGCTCTGCTGACCTAGGCTTAGGGATTGCTCTGTGCTTCTTCCTACCATACCTTTTGACTGAACTTGCTCTCAGAACATCTTCCTCCTTTGTTCTCCTGATGGGTATTGTGCCCTCAGGGCATCTACCATTAGCATGCCACAGCTGAGTGATGGGAGTATGCGCTTTCTTTTCGGGCTTTTCAGACAACTTGTTCTCTTCGAAAAGCCCTTCAGGGTGGAAACTAGGCCTTGTCTATTAAATCAAACCATGGTATTATTGAAAGGAAAAAAGAAGAAAAACAAAGACAACTGAAAAAATAGATCTTGAGTGAAGAAAATGGACCTGAATCTTGTGATCTTTGAGGAAAGGATGATCAAAAGCAGGCTGTTTGGAAACAGGTACACAGTCTATTGTATCCCCATCTGGACTCTGCAGCAATGAAAAAATAATCACATTATTAGCATTTTAAATACTATGTAAACAAAATTGAAACCAACCTAGTTAGTATCTTTCTACTTCTTAAAACCCAGGAGCTGATTTAAAAATGAAAATAAAAGAAAGCAAATCATTACCTACTTCTTTCTTTAGGTACTTTCTAGTTACTGCCTCAAAATTTCAATCAATAATTCCACCAAAAGGGCTATGATTTTCTTTTCTTTCATGTAAGAGAAAAAAACTAAAGAAAAAGCTTAGATAGCTCAAGAAATCAACCATCCACATAAAAGATCTACATTTCACAAAACAAATATAAAAGAAACCACAAAATAAACAAAAAGAAGAGGAAAATCGGTAGTAGTAGCTTGCAAGAAGGGTTATTTTAAGTGAAAATGCTTGAAAGGTACAGAACCATTTCAATAACAACCACCTCCAGCAAACAAGGGCAAAACCAAAAAAGTAATCTTTTTTTTTCTTCACCAAACCAGGCCATTTCATTGGGAGCCAAATAGATTAAAACAAGAAGAAACACCAAAATGGGGTGAATGGAGAACGCCCCTAAAACCCACACACACACATAAAGTTAAATATAGAAAGAGAGAGAGAGAGAGAGAGAGAGAGAGAGAGAGAGAGAGAGAGAGAGAGAGAGAGAGAGAGAGAGAGAGAGAGAGAGAGAGAGAGAGAGAGAGAGAGAGAGAGAGAGAGAGAGAGAGAGAGAGAGAGAGAGACCGGAATAGTCTTGATAGGAGGCTTGTTCAAGCGATTCAAATGCTTGGTGACCTCAAGTTTCTGCCTTGAAACACTTAACCTAGCAGCAGAAGAGAGGGAGATCAACACACCCCATAAGCAGAAAACAAGGAGAAGAGTCACACCACAACTAGAACCCATCACCACAACAACACCCTTGAAACAAAATGCACCCTCAACCTCACAAACTCAAACACAACAAGTTCACACCCCTCAAAACCCTTGAAAGAGTGAACTTGTCCCCTTTCACCTTCTTCAGCCACAGAATTCACAATGGGACTAACTAGCCTACCTTTCCTCACTTCCTATGAAGGCAAGGGGTACCCACTAAACAGCCACACCATGCTAACCCTCTTTTGTTTTATTCCTCTTTCTTAAAAATCTCTCCTTTATTTCTCTCTCTCTCTCCTCCCACTTTCCATCATCATATTATATTACTAATTATTCACTCATTAAACATTATTAAATAGTTAAACAAAAAACGGTCACTTTCTAGCTCCCTCTTTCTTGTCATTTTCCTCTCACTTCACCTTAACGATATCATCCCCTTTTTTTATAATGTTTTTCTTGGCTATTTTTTCTTATCATAATAATAAATAAAAAATAGCTTATACGTTTGCATTGCACGAGGGAAAAACGAAAAGTGTGGGAAAAGAAAAATAAAAAAGATGAAAATAAGAGTGTGGGTCTGTGTGTTCGTATTTTTCATGAATGCCTGCAGTGTCCACACGCAAGTTTTGTCGTTTAGACAGACACTGATGTCAATTGTAAATAGTGAATTGTGAAATGTGTCTGTGACAGACCCAATAGGACTGTTTTAATCCTTCGCATTTCCAAAATCCAAAGGAAAACGATTTTCGAAATAATAATAATAATATAATCATTTTAATTAATTCGTAAATTATGTCTTCGTAAATTTTAACCCCATAATTTTATAAATATGTCTTTGTAAAACATGTTGCATAAAACGGATTTCACTTTTCACTGCCAATGTAGGCTGAAAATTTTCTTTTTTTCCTTTCTTTAGCAACAAAAGAGACTCAATTTTTTTTTCTTTTGTACGTAAAAAGAGCAACTTTTGTCCCCAGTTCTGACTGTGACTATCCGTTACTCTTCTATTTTTTCTTTATTAAATCCATTCAAAAAATAATTACTTATTGAACTTTAATTAGGGGTGGGTCTACGGATTGGTCCGGAGGCTCGGTCTGTAAAACTCGCATTTTATACGGGCCGAATAAGTCCGGTCTGTAAAATAAATAGACTTATTTTTTAAGTCCGTATCTGGTCCACCAAAATCCACGAATAACGGGCCAGTCCGCGGGCCTAAATAATGACTCAAAAAAATAATTTTTTAAAAAATAAAAATACATAAAATTAGAAGAAAAAAATATATTTTTTATTTATAAGCTAAATTTTATCATACTAAAATTTATCAATAGTTAAAATGATTTAAAATACTAAATATTAAAATATTAAAATAAAAATAATTATAAATACTTTAATAATAGTACCAAACTTTCAATAATAAAAATATCAAAATGTCAAAAAAGTAATTCAAATGACAAATATATATCAACTAAACATAATTTTAATATTATAATAATTTAAAAAATTAAATACACAGCTTAATATTAAAATCGTAATATTTAAAAACATTAATTAATGAAGTCCGCGAACTAGCCCGCGAGCTCGCAGATTAAATCCGCCAAGTCTGTAAACTTCACAAACCAAGCTAAAAATTAGACATAATTATACGGATTAAAAAAAATAAGTCTATTTTTCGCGAAATCCGCGAACTTACAAACCGGTCAGCACACCCGGATCCATCTACCCGCCCTAACTTTAATTGCTATCAAAATTTGAAAGAGATGAATATTCTCTACCCCTAGATACACGCCTTCGTGGGATGGGTTGGACAATAGTTTTCTTTATATTTATATGTTCCGAAATATTAATAGAGTTAATTTTATGAGACAAGATTTACGATTAATTTAACAGCATATAAAAAAATGGGTTATATGGAGGTATGACTTATTTTCACCATAATAATTCTTATAAGGATATAGTAATATCTTTAGTGAACACTCTATATTTAAATTAAATATTAAATTATAATTTTTGTTTAAGGAGAATATAAAAGTCGTATTACTTAAAACCAAATACAGATATAAATTATATATTTCAAGATCGATAATATAAATATAAAGATAATATCATGTTAAGTAAGTTATATTATTAACACATAATTATTTAAAAACTATTAAATACAAGCTTAAACAACTTAAAAGATAAATCAAGCTCATCCTTAAAATTCATTAAGTTTAATTTTATATTTTTGAATCTTGTCAAAAGTCCCTTTAGATAATGTAATCTTTGAGATGGACTCAATCATGAACAACCCTAACATACATTAAAAAAATATTCAACAAGTCTAAATAAACTTAGTAAAATTTCACTGTAAACCCCTAATGTTAATTTTGATAAACAAATGTAAGTGGCGGTGGAAGCCTTACACAAACACTCCAACACCAAAATCATTAAGAATTTCATATAATAACACTATTAATGGTATAATAGAACACCTTTAACCTATGATATGAGACTTTACGTATACTAACTATGATGTGAGGTAAAAGAGAGAAAGTTATTATCTTACATTGATAGGTTGTTATGGAGTGTGATGCACAATAAAAGTGTCTCACATAATAAAAATGTGTTACTCAAATTGTAATGCATGATTAGACTTAATATTTTTAACGTGTAAGATAATTAATAGGGAGGATAAGATTTGTTTTCAATAAACTTCTCTAAAACAATAATTCCAAAATCAACATAGAAAGTAAAACTCTTGTCAAGTTGTGGTTTATAGAATGACCATCCATAACAAATATAATGTATCCATAACAAGTATAATGTATGTGAAATTTCTCTAACAGGCAATGAAATGTAATTATTATGATTCAATTGTAATAAAATAAAAAATAATTATAATGCACTAATAAAAAAAAATTACTTTATTATTCAATCAATTATTTATATGCATAATAAATTTGTTGATTTTTAATTTATAATAATTAATTTAAATTATATTTTAATGATTGATAATATAGTTTTTACATTAAAAGTATATGAAAATTAAAATTTTTATGTATGAAAAGTTATTAATTTTTTAATAATTGCTTAAAAAATTACATTTACAATGACTTTAAATTGATTAATAATTTAAAACTTTAACAGACTATTTTGTTAAAATGGATGTTTTTTTTTCAAAAATTTCTAAAAGTTACTCATTAAAAAAATCTAAAAAAAGGTGACTTAGGTTTGTGAAACAAAGACCTGTTTTAGTATTATGATTAGTTATTTTCAGAATTTTTTTTTAAATATTGAATTCAAATAATCTTGAAAAAAAAACACCCTGTTTTAGCAAAAGAAAAATGACATTTCTCATTAAACTTAATATTAATACACGTGATTTTATAAAAAAAGTTATTAATACATGTGATTTTATAAAAAAAATTATTAATACATATGATAAGTTGGACTTATGTATTGAGTTTAACACCATCTAACAATTTAAGATAATTTTACATAGTTAATTAATCGAATATATTTTTTTATTAATTACGATAAAGATTAATAATTTAATATTAATAGTGATTTGTGATTAGAGTATAATATTAAAATTTATACTTTCTTGATGTACGTATACGTATTTGTATATTTTATTCGGAATTTTAATAAGTTATTTTTAAGATAATAACTTATTCAACTCTGCACTGTAATGGTCAAATTTTATTTTTATGTCAACCATAAAATTCTTACCAAACTCTGTTTCAAAGAAAATAATTATTATCCCAAAATTTGTGGCCCATTGACTGCAATCAGTACCCACTCTTATTCTTCCACTCTAGCACAAAGGATAATGTCAATCAATAATTCATCATTTGATAAATGAATAAGTGGGTCCATTACTCAGTAAAAAAAAATTATAGATTATATTTAATCATTCACAAGGGAATCCGATGAAAATATATATATATTTTGCTGATATTGCATGCACATATTATACGATTCTCTGCGAATCACACTGCAACTTGGCGTCTCATCCACGACCATGTGTTTCATTTATTTAATTTTGTGTTAATCTTAAGACAAAGATTCCTTTGTTCTAATTCTAAAATATGTTTTTCTTTTGAATCGTATTCCTCTTTTCTAGGAATCGTAGTGCAATTCTGCATCACCCAATAGACAAAACATCTCAAAAAATAGTTATGTTATGATAGGAATACACATCAGAATTTTAGGGTTGATTTCATATAATAAATTGTCTAAAAAAATAATTATATTTTTTTGATAAATATTTTAAAAAAAAAATCTACATTTACTTGCTTCAAATTAGGCTTAGAAGTCGATCACTATAAAACTGATGATAATATATTCTATGTGAATGAAAGCACTAGTTTCTAGATCTTGCAGAATGCAGAGACCACATGTCCTATAGAATGTAGGTTTATAAAGTTTTTAATTTACTGTATTATTAATGTAAAATTGATATATAAATTATTGGATTTAAACATGTTTCACATTTTTAGGCTTAACGCGTGCTTGAGTTGATAATTATTAAAAAAAATATTTAAAATAACATTTTAAAAAATGTTATTTAAAATTTATTATACTAGTATTTTAGTCAAATACATTACATATTATACTGATCAATTTGATTAATTTTGTTATTGTAATTATTTATTATAAAAAAATTAAAATATTTAAGTCGTATATAATTAAGAGTTTAATGATTATACAGTAAAAAAATTACACTTTTGATCGATTAAAAATAAACTTTATAATTATTTTTATGATTGTTATTATTAAAGGCAACAAACTGAATTACTAAACACGATTGATTATAATTGATTAATAGTATAGAAAAAGTTTGACATTATAAAAAATATATATATATTTAAAGTAAATATATATCAAATGGCATCATAAAATATAATAAGTTATTCACAAAAAATTAAAATTATCTAAAAGTATATGATATTGTTAGTGAGGGAGGAGGAAAAGGCTGTGTTTGATTTGGAGCATATGAGAATATGCACTTCAATGCTATCCCACTCTTTGAAGTGCCTCCAACGTAGCGAGGAGATTAGTCATTGCTGTTGGCGGTGGATACTCCAGGGACGAAAAAAAAAAAAAAACAAGTAAAAAGAATGGTGGGAGGAGACCAAAGAGACCGAGAGACAAATTGGAGAAAATTGAGAAAAACAGAGAGAAAATTCTTATTCATTTATTTAAAATAAACAATTTTGAACTAGTCAGAATAATTTCTCATGGTGTGAGACATTTTAAGGTATCGCTCTTTAGCCTCCACTGAGCATGGAAAAATCTTATGAGTTGTTGATCACTTGTGAAGTT